GACGTCGCAGGTCGCTGCGACGTTGCTGAACGGCAGCAACGTCGCAGCGACGTTGCCGCCGTTCAGCAGCAGAGAAGGGGGGGAGAAGGGAGGGGAAGAAGGGGAGGGGGAGAGGCGGCGGCGGGCGGTGGCCGGGGCAGACGGTGGCGGTGGAGGCGGCGGTAGAAATGGATGGAGAAGAAGAATGAATTAGGTTATGTTTGGTTAGGGTTTTATATTTATAAAGTTGGTGGGGTGGGTAGTAGGGTGGGTATGTATTTAATTTAATTAAAAAGTATTATTATTAATATTAATTGTAAAATTAAAACCTGATTTTTGATTAAATAAACTAAATAGCTGATTTTTTAAAAGTCAAAAAAGTAAACACCTTTTTATGGTTATTTTCTCGTCTAAATATGTCGCCGTCCGGGCCTCCAGTATCAGAGAACGGGGATAATTGCAGGTTGAAAGCGCGGGAAAAAAATTCATCAGGGGAATAGGGTTTTTTGGCGAGGAAGAAAATGGAGGATGAAGATCTGGAGTTAGAAAAAGCAAGGTTAATTAGCTTAGCTCTCGAATTTGGATTCGATCAAGATTCGGCCAATAAGTGCTTGGACCGCCTCGTTCAGCTCTATGGTTAGCATTCACGTTCCTTTCACTTCTCAAATTTTAACGTGTGCGTGCGGGCGCCAGAGATTTAATATTTGTGGGTACTGATTTGATTTGGTAATTGAACGGGATTGTTGGGAATTTTTAAGTATTTGGGATTATAGAAAGTAACGCATTTTAGTGTAGTCCATATCATTGGTGATCTGATTTTTTTGGGAGGTTTTTCTGTTTATTTATGAAGAAATTGGTTGCAGCCAAGTTCTAGGCGACAGTAATCAAGTTGCAATTCGGAAAAAGAGTCAAATTTTTTAATCAAATATCGTAGTGCTTCAATCCTACTTTCACGCAATTCACAGGGGTCATTTTGGAAAGAAATTATGTGGTGATGCTAAAAATTGTACCTTGAATGCTTGAGCTCAATTTTTGATGGCCTGCGTCTTCCTTGACAATGAACTTGCCCTACTGAAGCCTGTGGGGGTTTCCTACAAGAAGGTTTCGGTTTGTGTTATTGTAAGCCCTCCTATGCTAAAGTAAGTAGAGACAGTAGGGAACTCAAAATCAGAAGAACTGTTTAGAAAATGATTATGTACTTGAAAGGCAAGAAAATTTGAAACAAAGATTTCATTGAGGGAAAATTGACATACAAACGAAAACCCAGCAAAGGAGAACAATGACACTAATGCCCGATTATATGTTGAGATATTGACCTAGAATTTGTATCCTTAAGTACGTGTATAGTGCGAGTTGATGTAGAATAGGGCCTGTACTTATTTATTTCTAGATGAACTGTGGAGTAGAGCTTTGATGGATATCTGTAAAATTATCTGTTAGCAATACCATGTGTGTATCGTATTGGTTCTCTTTCATATTGGTTTCAAGCCTATATGAACAGCACCCGAAATCATTTTAGTCATGGAATTGATTCCATGGCTTGTTATAACTGTATAGAGTCTCAGTTGGTGGTCAAATACCCGGTTCAATTACTTATATGCTCATAATATTGGTAAGGTGATGATGGACGAGACTTCATCACTGTGGAGCACTGTGGTGATGACTTTCTGGCAACACTCGCCGAATCTATGCAAGACACTGAGGATTGGGATAATGTGGAAGCCATGGAGTCAGAAGCTTGTGGTGCTTTAGCTGAGTTGTTAGACCAGGATCTTCTGAAGAATTCTGATGCTAAGGATAATGAAAGTTCAAGAAGCCATATCCACATTATAGAAGATTCTCCTGAATGTCAAAAACGTCAAAATTTCACTACGATAGATTCTTCAAGTGACAGCGAGGAGGCAGAATTCATGATACCTAGCAATAAGCACATCAAATTCACCTCTAAGCATTGTCTTGATGGCAGCAGTCAGGACCTCTCTCCAAGTTCAAATAATCATCCTTCAACATCTATGGTAAAATTTCTTCAACTTTTTTTCCATGATACTGACCTCCACAATAACGTCTATCTTTCTTGTGGGCTGCTACAAAAGTAACGTTATTGTCCATCTAGCCCTAAACTTTATTTATTACCACATGGTTAAATGGAAACATCAGTATCTTATAATAATCTTTAAGCAATTTACGGGTGCGGCATTAACAGGTGAAATTTGCTTTCTTCATGTAAAGTGGACATCATTTATATTCATTTGAGGTTTTGCCATCATACTCAGAGGATGAATCATCTTGTTTCATGTTAGAAATTTATGAAGTATCTTCTTCATTCTAATTTCTTCTCTTCCCCCCCCCCCCCCCCCCCCACCAACACACACACACACACCAAAAGGGAAGTTTAATAGCCTTAATCTTTTAGTGCTTATATGCTGAATTCCTAGGAGTGAAATTTCATCTACATTTGAAGGATTGCAGGAGCAGTGTTACTCAAAGTTCAGTTTCATCAATTTTCAGCGAAATAAGAGAATCCAGGTCATCCAAAAATGCACACGGAACTCTAACGTATGAAGAATTGCAACAATTGGATGACATTGAATTGGCAAATGTAGTAGTATTTGGTAACAGGAGTTTTCGGCCCTTGCAGCACCAGGCTTGTAAAGCATCTCTCGAAAAGAGGGACTGTTTTATTCTTATGCCTACTGGAGGTGGTAAAAGCCTTTGTTATCAGGTCAGGTTCTTACTTTGAATACAAGTTTTTTTTCTTTAAGAATCAACTGAATGGAAAGTGAAGTTACTCCGCGACCTTATAATGTTAAAGTCCAGTTGAATGTCTTTATAACTTATGGGCCAGTTAGATAAAGAAAGGCCTAAACTTGTTTGGTCTTGTCATGATAAATTTTAATCAAGTTTTTACCTGTAGTTGGATCAAGCTGTGGGTAATTTTTAGTTGTACGCTATGTATAAAAACAGAATACAACCATCTCTCTATTTGATCAATTATTGGTGCTTCTAGAATTTTCTAGCACATTCTTATTTTTATTTGAGCTTTTATAAGTGTAAATCATCCCCCTGTTAGCTACTCTCAAATTGGAAGAAATTTGGGGTTAAATAGTTGAAGAGAAATAGATAATATCAATTTTGTGAACTTGAAAAAACTCTCTGTTTCAGACTCACTTATCAAATAATGTGCTCTCTGCTCTGTTCTCTGATGCATCAAATTATTTGTTTGCAAGTATTGAAGCTCTATCTTCTGTAACAATTTTACTTCATTAACTGGAATTTTTTTCATTTATAGACCGACTTCATAAAGGCAGTCAATAGGATAGCGAAAAGGGTATGCATAACCAACTATGCAAGTATATTAAAGAGGTTACAAGAATTATACCTTGAGAGTAAAATATCAAGCATGTAATACCATTTCTTAATCAATCGCATGAAAATCTTTAGTTATGTAAATTAAATTTAACTGAAAAAAAAAAAGAAGTGAGTTATGTAAACTAAATTTAACTGAAAAAAAAGAAGTGAAAATAACAAAAGATGCTGTGGGCAGCGATAATTTGAATTTATTCTGATCATACTTTGTTAAAATATATAACAAATGGAACTTTATTTAACTTCGTAGAATCTAACTACAGTTAAATATTTAAAACAAATCTCGAATTTTGAATTATATCAAATAAATATCTTGATATTTTCCAACTGCTAGCAGTTTGGAAGGATTTTAATAAAAAAATTGCAATTTCCAAGGTGGCATATAAAGCTTAGAAAAGCACTGCACAGCCACCATTTTAGTGCATATATATGTACATGGGCTTTGTAGTCACACACAACACAAACTTGTGCACATGGCTGTATGGATTAACATTTAACTAATACCCATTTCTCAAGGATATTAAGAAAACAATAGCAATTTCTAACTTCTAAGGCGGCACAATGGAGCTTTGGGAGTCTCTCTCTACGACACCTTCTTGGTGCTTAAGTGGGAATAGTGACTATGATAAAATTAACGATTGGATCCGTAGAATCTTCATTATGAAATTTTACAGTCAAGTTCAGTCATATATTAGAAAGTTGTATCTTATGTTTGCTTTATTTTCTCCATTATGGTATACCATGCAGCTCCCAGCCATTCTCCAGCCAGGTGTTACAGTTGTTATATCCCCCCTTCTTTCCCTTATTCAAGATCAGATAGTCACGCTAAATCTGAAGTTTGGAATAGCTGCAACTTTTTTAAATTCTCAACAAACACCATCACAAGCAGCAGCTGTACTTCAAGAACTAAGGCAAGTTCACTTTCTTTTCTATTCATAATGTATTGTAAAATGTATCTTTTTAGAGTGGATATGCCAAATAGTTACCGAACACTAAATTCCACACTTGTCTATTTGCAATACTGTTGACTGTGGCTGTGCAATTTTTTTTTTAAGCTTCCACTCCCTCTCCAGACGAAATTCTTATAGCTGTCATTGGTTGTGAGTAGACTAACAAGGTGACAGTTTGCAACTAGTTTGATAGTGTCTTACAACTAGAACCCCTCTTTTCTCCGATCCAGTTCCTCCACTGTGAACCCCAGTTTACAATGCAATCCAACTTGCTTGCTAATTCTTCCATGAAGCTGCAGTGGTGAAGTTTCCTGGAAGACTCAATATAATACCTTAGTTTATAGTAACTTATTTTTGAACTTCCGAAGGAAATGTGCTGCGAATATCTCTGGAAAAAATTCCTTGCCCTGAAATCATGGAGCTTCTTTTAAACCAGTAGTATCTCTCTCAAGCCTTTTCATTTGGCCAAAAATGGTCATTTGAACTGGCCTTTAAGACAAAGTTGTGAGAATTTCACAACCCAGAGTTTCAAGAGTGCTCGGACTACTAAGTACTTTGTATTTCAGTGTCATTTGGAATAACATCAAAGAACCCTTTGCCAATAACCTGAATTCTAGCTTTAAATTTGGTTACTAATTTTTTCTCTATGTTAAAATTATTTGGTTACACTTTGTTCAAAATGTTTCCAGGAAAGATAGCCCTTCTTGTAAACTTCTGTATGTAACTCCTGAAAGAGTTGCTGGAAATATACCATTTCAGGAGATCCTAAAATGTCTTCACAGGAAGGTGAGTTTTATGCTCTTGAAGTCTTTGAATGTGCCAATTCCATGTATGATGCTATGTGCTTTCAAAGTCAGTAGTACTCCCTTGATAATATATAAAAGTTTATTGCACAAATTTCAGGGACAATTAGCGGGCTTTGCTGTTGATGAAGCTCACTGTGTGAGGTATGCTTCCTAAAATTCTTCTATAGATTGCTATTATTAGAAAGAAAAATAAGAGCAAGGAAAATCGGGAATACCAAAGCAAAAATCAAAAAATAAAAATGAGGGTATTGACTGCATGAAGGAAAGGGATGGTCATCAGCGAATCTGAAGAATAATGACATTGATTCCGTATTTTATACAAGTTCTAAAAAGCGCGCCTAGGCAAGAAGCGCGATGAAAACGCTTCGCTTTGAGCCTAAGCGGGAATGAAGCGGTCAACGATAATGTTGACCGCTTAATGCTCGCCTAGGCTTTCCTAGGCGCACCTCGTTGATTGCTTAATGCTCGCCTAGGCATCCGCCTAGGTTTTTTTTTTTTTGGTAGATGCACACCAAGAAAAGGAATAGACTTGACACTACAATGATGAAGAATTTTGTTTATGTCTAATTTAATGCAAGGTTGATAAACAAGAAGAAGATGAATTCCAAAATAGAGACTTTACTAACAATGATGCTACTAATGCACAATCTTGGATTGTAGATGGTTGTGATGATGAGGGTGATGGGAAGAATGATATCTTACAACCTACAAGAGGTATAAAAATGATCAAAATGAAATAAGGGAGCCCGTGAATGATGATTTTGTATCGACCGATACGGAAGACGAATCAGATGTAGATGAAGATATTGAATTAGAGTCCGATAAAGAGCTAAATTAGATAAGATTTAAGCTACAAGTTGTCTACGTTATGTAATTATGATTTTGAAACTTATCTTTATGTAGGAATTATTAAGTAAATACAGTATTTTATAATTTTAAATATTTTGTACGTATTATTTGAATTATTGAATTTTTTTACAATGATTTAAAATTTAAAATAAAAAACGCTTTTTTACGCCTAAGCTCGTCTAGACTCGTAAAGCTTGAAGCTTGATCTCCATGCCTAGCCACGCTTTACGCATTTTAGAACACTGCAAATTTCCTGTGTCTTAGATAGTCATTTGAATGGACTGTCAAATTCAGAACTATAGAGTCAAAATTGGAAAATGGCTAAAGTATGACACACACTCAAACGAGTGGAAAATGCTGTGTTTTTTAAATAGTAGAATCTACATCCCTTTGAATAATGGAGCTATGAAGAAGATCACATACTAGATGACAAAGAATTGTATTTTTATTAAGAATCAGATTCTTTTTTCTTAAATTTGGTTTAACTTAGAGATGTTGGGTATGTAACTATGTATGTTACTTGGTTTGACATGTCTTTCAGCCAGTGGGGGCATGACTTTCGACCAGACTACAGGGTATTAGGATGTCTTAAACAAAACTTTCCTCGTGTTCCTTTGATGGCTTTAACTGCCACAGCAACGAAGACAGTTCGTAAGGTTAGGCTGATACTTCTCCTTGCACTTTATAGTTAATTCTTTTGTTTTATTCTGTGAAATGATCTTGACTATTCATCATATGCAGGACGTCTTAAATGCCTTGAGAATTCCCCATGCAATTGTCCTTGAGACAAGTTTTGACAGACCCAACTTAAAGTACGAAGTGATGGGGAAAACTAAAGAACCACTAAAGCAGCTAGGGAAATTACTGTTGGATCGTTTCAAGAACGTATGTGGAATTGTATACTGCCTTTCGAAAAATGAATGTGTGGAGGTCTCAAAGTTTTTGAATGAGAAACTCAAAATTAAGACAGTATACTATCATGCTGGATTGGCCGCTCGTCAGAGAGTTGCAGTCCAGAAGAAATGGCATACTGGAGAAGTCCATGTTGTTTGCGCTACTATTGCTTTTGGGATGGGAATAGACAAACCTGATGTTGTAAGTGATTTCCGTATTGCTGGTTCTAATCTTGCTTCATAGTTACTGAATATATTTTGGTAGTTCATCTTATATCTAAGGAGAATTTTATGCACGTGGTATTTTAAATGGTCTAACAATCACTAAACACCTCTCATAAAGTAGATCAAAACAATATTCAACGTTTTTGGCCTTCCTGTACTGTTACATTTTGTGAAAATTGACTCATAGACCTTGTTCATGTTGCCATTTCCAATTTTTTCAGCGGTTCGTCATTCACAACACCATGTCCAAATCAATTGAAAGCTACTATCAGGAATCTGGAAGGGCAGGACGAGATAATCTTCCTTCCATATGCATTGTTTTATACCAGAAGAAGGATTTCAGCCGGGTTGTATGCATGCTGAGAAGTGGACAAAGAGGTAGAAGTGAAAGCTTCAGGACGGCCATGGATCAAGCTCGAAAAATGCAGCAATACTGTGAGCAGAAGGTACAGTTCCATATAATATACAGTTAAATATTCTTAGAAGTGACTAATTGCCTCGTCATATGCTAACATATAAATCTGTAAGCTTGCTTGAATATAGATTCTGTGTGCATCCTGCAGGATGAATGTCGTAGGCAAGCATTACTTGAGCACTTTGGAGAATCCTTTGATCGGAATACCTGCAAATATGGTTCTAACCCCTGTGATAACTGCCTCAAGACATCCTCGTGAAGGAAGGTATATCCTTTCTGCCCCTTCATTCTACGGATATGTTTTGTTACCAGCACGCCTCTTCCCCGTCTTCAAGAATCCCTCCTGGTCTAGCATAAAACTAGCCGAAATGAAAATCCTATTGCAAAACCAAATGAGCTCGAGGTAAGAGATAGTGCAGTTGTGTGCTCGAAATTATCTTTTCTTGGGAACATGACTCGTCATGAATCTACAATTGATAGTAAGCCTGAGGTGCCCTCCAAACAGTTCGACTCTTTAATATGGTTGGCTGTTTGAAACTGCATGCGAAAGATTATGCTGTCAGCCAATCATTTTGGCTGAAAAAGGATCTATTGCGGTCGGTTGGATTGTGAAAAGCAAGTAGTTTGAAAGACCAAGCGTATTTAAGAAGAGTTTGCAAATATTTCAAATCAAGACAGGTGTGTCAACTCTATTAAGATTAGTATTACTGCTCAGCATTGGTTTTGGTTGTAAAGATATTTATCTTCATTCTAGTGTCTACGATCAATCTTACAACCTTCAAGATAGAAGTTTTAACACTTCGCCGAGATTCTGGCAAAATGCATTGAATTGCACGGTCATTTGGCAAAACTTTTTAAAAGTCTAAAGTTACTTTTGACATTAATTTTTTTAAAAAAATATTTGGATCACAAGAAGTCCTTTTATAAGAAACAAAAGTTAACATACCTTGACAATCTAATAGAGAAAAAAAATATTATAAAAAAAATCAGATTAACATAGTGAAATCCCCTGTTTCATGTATAGGAAAATGAATAATTCATTGACCTCTGGGATTTCCCTCTAAAAAAAAAGAAAAAAAAATCAAATTGCACCATTATTAATAGATTGTTATCATTTGTCGAGTCGAGGATTTAACTACTCGTCAATCAAAATCAAGAAAATATTCATGCGTTGTTCAATAAAAATAAAAGATTATTTTGGAAGATTTTAACTACCACTATAGTTAAGGATGAGGGCACATGGATTTGATAGAATTAATGGAAAATTATTGATTAGATTATGTGCAAGTTGTATTTTGTACAATGTCCAATGGGAAAAGTACAATGACAGGTTGCATGTGCATGTGTCATTATTTATTAAAAGTTTTCGTAGAGGGCACTTAATTTACATGTTTGTTTCATATTGATCATCCAACTTTACTTTGTTTCATTTTGATTAGTCAACTTATATATTTTTTTTTTACCTCAATTCAACGATTTTGTCGGTAGTGAATCTAGGATTAACGATCGATTTCGTATAAGTGAGAGAATGCGTGACCTTGCACTTGTTAGACATTAAATGAACGGTTTTCGTCAATTAGGTGAAGTAGGATGAATAAATTGAAAACCTTAGTTTGTTGTGTTAAATAACAAAATTCTCAAGACGAAGACCATTTCAAGAGCTATTGAGTCAAAGTAGCATTGAATTTTTGAGATACAATTGAAGATTTGGTGACTAGTACTTTATGTGGTTCCAAAAAATCTCAATTCGAGGGAGCTATTTCTTCTTCAATCAATCAAGAAATTTTAACTGCGAGCTATTCAAGCACCAAGGTAACACAAGCATAGTTGACAGCATATGAGTTTAACCTTAGCTCTCAACCTTCCCATCCTCAACCTAAGGACTACGCAGATGATGCTTCCGACAAGTAAACAAAAAGATCAACGGGATGAGAGATTTTTTATTTGTATTTTATTAGTCTGAATGTTCTCTCTCGACCTTCCCATCCTCGACCTAAGGACTACGCAGATGATGCTTCCGACATGTAAACAAAAAGATCAATGGAATGAGAGATTTTTTATTTGTATTTTATTAGTCTGAATGTTCTCTCTCGACTAGTGAATTTGATTCGAACAAAGACTCTTACAAGTATATAACTAGAGCATGAAATTTCGAGTTGAAATTATGTCACATGAGATATATTTTTTGTTTCTCTTTTCATCTTTTTGTATTCTAACTATAAGTCGGTTAAGTTATATCTTTTTTCTCTATATCTGGATTTCAAGCCTAGCCCCCGTATAAGCTTCTATTTTTTTATTTATGGTGTTAATGAAATACGTCACTATGTGTGGTTTTATTAACTAAAAAAGAAAATTCAATTTTTTGTATTATTTTATTTCAATTTGTTTGACAAATTTAATTGTCAAATTAGCATCAAACGAGTGTTATGTCAAGCATTTCAGCAACTACGTGGCACTTGATCATCTATACCACGACAGCCAATGATCTATCAAATTGAAAGAAACATATAACTCTTATTTGGAATTTTCCCACCCCACCCCACCCCACCTAACCTACGCCTAGCTTGTCAAACAACTCACGTGCCGTTTGGTAATAAGTGTCTATTTATGTCTTTTTTTTTTTTTTTTTTTTTTTTTTT